TGTTAATGACTACTCACTATTTTTACCTGTACCTCCTCGTCCGCCCCATGCTGATCCGCCCGAGGAATGACCGCCTACGGCCGAACTGCTGCCCTGCCACGTTGATGAACCATAGCCGGCACCTGAAGATGAGCCCCATCCTCCAGAAGTACCTCCAATACGACTTGTTGTTGAGCTGTATGCATCACGGCTATTACCGTAATACGAACTGGCGCCGCCACGTCCGCTGCTGTACGATGTATTGTCCCTAAAGAAATGACACTAAATGATGTGCAAGTTGAAGACATCAACTCAGTCTGATGCGGTGTAACTCCTAAGTAATTGCCCAATTGCCACCACGAAAGGTGTATTCCAGAAGATGGATGCTGCTGGGGTCACCACGCCCACCAACGCGGTTGGTCTGAATACAATGGGCCGGCAAGAGGACTTCAGAATACTTGTGCTTGTATGTTTCTCACAAGGAAATGCGAATTTTCGACGTCTCTGGGTGTTCTTCCTTTGCCACATACGTTAATGGGCGTGGCGACCCCAGCAGCATCCACTTTTTATATCGATTTTCTCGCATCGGAATTAACCTCCTGCAGCGGAACTTGAACAATTACTACCATTAAAATCTTAGAATTCAAATTGTTGTACGTCCCCCAAAAACAAGTAAATAGTACCTACCTCGAAGAGGTGTAACCTCTATCATACTCTTTCCTCGAATATGCTGCTGGCTGAGAAGAGGTATGACCTCGAGCAGTGCTATACGACTCATGTCGGCTGCGATCACGACCTAAACACACTTTCACACTTCTATAAAATTAGAAAAACACTTCTATAAAATTAGAAAATTACGACGCAGATTCTTACTTGATGCAGGCGCCGACTTGTGGTCGGAACGGTCACGTTCAATTCTTGATGGAGCTGATCTGAAACAAAAGGCTATATGTATATCCTCGAGTCATTTCAACTCAATATTGGAGTCTGCACACTATGCGCGGCAACCGACGACAATTCTTCAGTAAGACCGGGGAAAGCACTGTACATGTGCAGATTTTGATCTCGCAAGTCGTCAAGTAATGTACATAGTGTGCAATACGCGTACTACAAGTGAATCGACGACAAATGTAATGATTATTGCTTCTAAACCAACCTGTCACTTGCTCCCACATGGCGAGACCTTGAG